TTAAACACATATTTTGAGCATATTTTATCTATTTCTTTCATGATCCCTCACCATGGCCTATATTACAATCTTGAAAAATTCATTTGGATTAAGTGTGATGCTCGAATTGAATGATCATATATTGGGCAAAGGCATGCTTATGATGGAATAATGGAATCATGCTATATTGAGATTAATGTGTCAGAGCTATCAATAGTGGATGAAAGATGATGAAAAAAAATGGATGAAAAAAATGAAAAAAGAGAAAAAATAAAAAAATAAAAAAAATAAAAAGAGAAAAAGAAAGACTCAAATTGAAAATCTGAAAGGACGATTTGGGTAAACAAATCTCTGAGCTGAAAGTTAGATGAACAGTTCAAATATATAAAAGATCAAGGCATCTAAAGATCCTCTAAAGCTAAAGTAAAATTTGATGAGCTCAAAATGATTTGGACAATCAACGGAATGAGTTTTTAGAAAAAAATATTGGATTAATGTTTAAAATTGTTTGAATATTCATTCATCCCAATGATATACATCAAATTTATTTCTATCCCCATTCGTTCATTGCTTTTCTCCCAATGCATCTTGTGTTCTTTTAATCTCACATTCCTAGAATGAATTGAGGAAATGTATGATTGCATTGTATTTGTTAAGAATTGAAATGATAATGAATGAATGAATATGTGCCTAAAAGGTTCTTGCATTCTTTTGAAAAAAAATCCTGGATGATCGAAGGTAAAATGATGAAGAGATGACAGAAACTTGAAAATGACACATGGGATGGTCAAATGATGAACATGGAGATGGATTACTCAACAAGATGAATAGAAGGCAAAAATCTAAAAAGATGATGTGATCAAGAGATGAATATGGTAATACCTGATGAGGATCAATAGGCAAATTTTATTCTGGAATGGTTAGTGTTGAGAAACCTGTGAATGGTGAACGAGTGACGAACATAATATGAAATTTCTAGTGCTGATAAGCCTATGAATTGTGATTAGGTGGTATGAGGCAATGGACGAAACTCATTTTGGAATTGTTAGTACTGAGAAGTTTATGGATGGTGACCAAGTGATGAAAATAATGATCAGTTGATGAAACTTGTTCTAAAGTGTTGAGAAGCTAAACAAGGAAAAAAATGTGAGATGATGGAGTCTTGAGAATCATATTACCATATTTTGATTAGAATTTCATGACTTTGAAATCCGTATTACATGCATTATGTCTGCTTCGTCATTTGAACAGTACATGTATATGATTCGGTGAATATTTAAAGCTTTGTTTGGACATGTATTAGCCAGCAAACATTCGAATTATGATTTAGGATATGGCATCTACATTATTATGTGAATCCAGATTATTACACTTGCATCCTTGATCATGACATATAAAATTTTGAGTCACTCGAAGAAGAAATTGTGTCGGGTTGAATTTTGGTGTCTATGTTTTTGTACAATTCTTGTTTCATAAAAAATATGCAAAGAGGGGCAGCTGTAAACACTCTATTTGGTCTGGGCCCAAGGCCATTAGACCTGGTCCAATAGGGTTTGGGCCAAAGCCCATTGGGCCCGGTTCAATGAATCCAAGTAGTTAGGCTTAACTTTTTTTTCCCTTTTTTTCATTTATTTATTTGTGGACTTTATTATTATTATTATTATTATTATCTATTTTTTCTCTATTAATTTAATTTAATTAATTTAATTTAATTTTTTTTTCTTTTCTTAATTTATTTTTAGTTTTATTTTGTTAGGATAATAATGGGATAATGGCTACAAAAGAGGAAAAAATACAAATTTTGCCATGTATAGACACTAGTAGAATTGTATATGGACTCAAATCTGTTGGAAGTTAAGTCATGTTTAATAAAAAATTCTTTTGATTTTTTTTCCTATAAATATAGCACATAACAGCACAAAAATGGGGAAATGAAAAAACTTACAGAAAATTAGAAGGAACACAGAAAAATTAGAAACAGAAGAGAGAGCAAAAGTCAGAAAACAGAAAAAAAATCTCAAAGTCACAAAAAAATAGAAAGCAAAAAAAAATATTAAAAGTTTTTTGGGTTTAGGAAAAAAATGGATTTTTCTAAAAATATCTGGAGAATCTCAGATTCTGGCAAAATTTTTCAGTTTCTTGTGACTTTTCCTACGCCTGTTGAATTTTTCGATAATTTTTTCAGTACGGGTTAAATTTTTCAGTAAGGGTTTCTAGAATCCGGTGAAGATCCCGACACTGATTAAATTTTTTGGCGATCGTCCGATGACCCAACCTAGATTCTGATAAAATTTCCAGAATCTGGTTTAAGATTCAATTGGAGTTCATCCGGGTAGAGAAAGAGGGAGAGAAAAGAAAGAGGAAGAGATAGAGGGGGAAAAAGGGATTTGAAGTAGAAAAAAAGAATTTGGCCTTTTATAGGGCCCTGAAACGACATCGTTTTGACGTTAAGTACTTTCCAGAATCCGCACGTTTTCATTCGGACGACCCGACCTGAACGCTGACCCGTGTTTCAACCTGTTCCCTAAACCGAGCTGCATCTCCCGAGTCGTGCCTACAAGCTGTTTTCGTGCCTCGAACCGAGCTAATTCCAGCTGAGTCGAATCGCGTATTTTTTTTCTTTTTTTCTATTTATTTATTTAGTTATTATTATTATTATTTCTATTTAGTTATTTATTAATTAAATTTAAATTATTTATTTATTTAAATAAGCATTCTTTATTTTTTTTATTTTTTTCCTAAAATAAAAAAAATAAAAAATACATATTTTTGAGGAAAAGTTGAAAGTAACAATTTTTCTTGAAAATCAAATTTTTTAAAAAATATTTTCCTTGAAAATAAAATTTTAAAAAATATTTTTGAGGAAATGTTGAAAATATCAATTTTTCTTAAAATAAAATTTCTAAAATAAAAATTTTCAAAAAACATTTTGAGAAAAAATTGGAAGTATCAATTTTCCTTAAAAATAAAAATTATTAAGAAAAATATTTTGAGGAAAAGTTAAAAGTATCAATTTTCCTTGAAATTAAAATTTCAGAAAAATATTTTGAGAAAAAATTGGAAGTATCAATTTTTCTTAAAAATAAAAATTATCAAGAAAAACCTTTTAAGGAAAAGTTAAAAGTATCAATTTTTCTTAAAATATATATAAAAAAAAACTTCCAAATGCTTTAAGAAAAAGCTAAAAGTATCAATTTTTCTTGTACAAAAATAATGAGTTTTTTTGAAAAGAAAAGGATTTATATCAAAAGTAGAATCATTATTCCTCTTTTGTTATTTTATTTTATTTCTTTATTTTTTTCCTTTCTTTCTTGAAAAAATTTTAATATTAAATAATCCGACAATGGAGTTTCTACAAGTGAAACAATTGTTTTCTTGTATACTCTTGATATGAGAGGATTTTTTTTAATTTTCTGTCAAAAATATTGTAGTTAATTAAAAATAATTTTTAATAATTAATTACTTAGTAAAATTTTAAGGCTTATCGGATAACACGAAATTGAGCTGGTACCATTTTTCGATAAGTATTGTGAGGGTGCTATAAACTTTCTCACTCGTAACCGAACTCTCGAATCATATTCTGGTTAATAGATTCGAATCTATTCTTTTAGAGATCCTTAAGCTTAGGTTCCTTGAAAGGATAGATTCCTTAGGTGACCAATCGCATCTAAACAAAAAAAGATTGGTGACGACTCTTAAAATCAATGTTTAACGATAGATTCTCAAATCTAAACGTTATAACATAGTGTTTAAATGAAATTTTTGTTCAAAAACTTTTTTAATTTTTTTGTCTAATAAAAAACATAATATGGAATAGGAGTTCTGTAAAAAATAAAAAATTAATTATGGTATAAGAAATATCTTATCAACCAATGAACCCTTAAGCGATGGTAAAAAAAAGAAAAATCCCAACTAGCCTAATTGACTGTTTCAAAAAAAAAAAAAAAGGAAAATTCTCAGGTTTAATTTTTACCTGGTCAACTTATACTATCGCTCCCTCTGCTTAGTTTCTTTCAAATCATTTATTCAACTACATCCGTCGACTTAAACAATTTTAAATACTAGATTTAGATTTTTTCAGATCATTTATTCAAATAGATCCCCTACTTAAGCAATCTAAAGTACAAAATTTGGTTTCTTTCAAATCATTTATTCAAATAGATCCCTGTACTTAAGCAGCCTTAACTACCAGATTTTGCCTAATCATTTATTTTTCAATTTTATGGATTTCAAAATATAGTTGAATGGATGTCTTGATTTTTTATTTAATTTGTTGATGTGCTCATGTTAAACTTTTACTTTATGATGTGACGTTTTACTGAACATTGAAGATTCAAAAGATGATAGATTTTTATTGCCCATATGGTCGATGATGACTTTAATAATGTAATATTGATTACGTTATTAACGTGACATTTTTATATCATTGTATTCTTTTTGTTTTAAAATATTTGTTAAGCATTAATTTTTATGAAATTTAAGAAAAATGTTTGCTTTAATGTATTTAACATTAAAATTTTAAATTTTTTTATAAAATTAAAGTTTCATGATTTTTAATATAAAAAAAATCATAAAAAATAATTTTACAATATAAAAAGCAAGAGTTTTAAATTTTTTTTAAAAAAAACATAATTTTAAGATATTTCAAAAAGAAAATATGGATAAAGAAAAAGAGATAAATAGAGTATTTTTTTATAAAATTACAAATATAAGTTATAATTATAATTAAAAATTACATTTATATATAAAAAATTATTGAATAATCAAACAAATAAATTAAAATATAAAAAAATTTAACATAAAATTAAATTAAATTCACATATATAATATGATTTGAAGCTAAAATCTCAGAGTTTTTTTATATCTAATTGTAGCAAGCAAGTAAATTGAGTGAGAGTGTACGAAACTGGCACCTAGCAAGGGTTTTAGAAAGTGTAGAAAGGAAGAAATGGGAGTTTAAGCCATAAAATCCCATATCATTTTTTTCATTTTTTAAATTAAAAAAAAAAAACCATATCAGCATGACTAAAGCTACATCATTATCTAAAAATATCATATTTCCAAAAAAATTTCAAATTGTTGAGTCAATGCTAATCAATAATTACTCATCAAATTTAATAAAAAATTATGATACCATTTATGATTAGACTATGTTTTGAGATTCATAAATGTTGAAGGACTCAATGTGATCGAATGATTTAAAAAAAGAGTAAATCAATCACTTCAGGCAAAATAATAGTACAATTCGATTTTTTGCTTAATTATTATGAAAATTGATGTAATTTTTTTCGAATTTTTAAAAACAATTATGCCCTAGTTTAATTAGATATTAATTCAAAAGCCTCATTTTGAGTAGTATCCTATAAATAAATTGCAATTTATGGTTAAGCTTCTGTGAAAGTAAGCATTTGCATTGCCAAGGTTAGTTAGCTTTTTATTTTTATTTATTTATTTATTTTTCTTTTCTGGTTTCAAAATGCAAAGGTCTATTTGCTAACTTGTTTGTATAATCCATTTGCTATCTGGATTTTGTTTGATAAAAAAAAGGATGAAAATGAATATTGATTAATAAATTATTAAAATTATATTTAAGTTTTATAATTACTTTTTATTTTATAATTTAATTATTGAATTAATAATTTTTTTTAATTCTTAGACATTTCTGTCTTTTTACAATCAAAGCGCCATTAACATTAAAATTTGAGATTTTCAATATGAAAAGGTTACATTTAAAATTTGAAGAGAAGAAATGTTTTTAACAGTTGACTCAATGGTGCCTACCAAGTCAAGTTTCAATTTTAAAAAACCCTACAAATCAAATCAAAATCGTGAATATCTCCACTGTCAACTTTGATTCATGCTTACATTGTTCGTCAAATTAGTATTCACACGTGCTCTCGTGCGGCACGCCAGGGCCCAGCAAAACAAAGCCATTTTTCTTTCATACATTTTAAATTATATTCCTTCGACACAAATTATATCTCTTCATTTGAAAGAATTCTACCCTCACTATTGTATATCCTTTGACCTTATTCTTTTATAATTAAACGTCCGTCCAATGAAGATCCAATAAACTTTGACGAGCTACATATCTTTTTGAAATTTTGCAAGCCCTTTCTAGATATCTTAAGAGAATAGTAATATACTTTTCTTTCATTTTCTGGTCTCCCAATTTCCTCTCCTTTGCCGATAATATATATATATATATATATATTTATATCAACACCAATTTATTATCCTTTGATGAAAGGGCATAAGTAAAAAACCACCCTTCTAAGGGTGTAAATTGAACTTCTTTTCTTGATTATTTTTATATTATTGTTTATTTTAACAGCATCCTCGACAAATACAAATAATGACCATTACTCACTAGAGATCCATATTTTATATTTTTTTAATGCAAAGAAGATCATAATTTGTGTTGGAGAGATAAACTACATTTGGAGTTCATGGGAGCATATCAGAGAGTTCATACATATATGTTGAATACTACTTGAACTTAAAAACTTAAGTTATTAAGTTTTTTGGTCATTCATGCATGTATAAAATATTTCATTCTGATTTTTTAATGATGTGAGATGTAAGATTCTTTACTCACATGTAAACCATATCACAACAATTTCTCCCATTCATTTGTGAGTTCTAATCAAGTCCCACCTCAGCTCCCTGTGCAAGTAAATTCTTTAACACCTCCTTTAGATCAGGTAACATCACATATTTGCTGCATCCAAGTTGAACCTTTAATACCGATGTTCAAATGCATGGAGTTGATGGATGCGGCTAACCTTTAATCTGCCAATAATCTCCCTCCTAGCAACATTATTGGGACTCGAACTGTGATTTTTTTGACTTTGATACCACTCGTTGGAGAGATAAACCATACTTAGAGCTCATGGGAGCATACTAGAGAGCTCATACATACATATTGGATACTATTTGAGTCTAAAAGCTTAAGCTATTAGGTTCTTAAGTCCTTTATGCATATATGGGTCATCTCATTCAAATTTCTTAATGATGTGAGATTTTTTACTCATATGTAAACTATATCCCAACAATTTGAGAATAGAGTAAGAGATTACATATACTAAAATTTAAACTTTAAACATGCTAGTTGTTTCTTTTTAAAAGTGATTGCATAAATTAATTTAGTTAAATTTTGGATTCTTCATGTTCTCATCATTAATCCTTTTAATATATACATTAATTATTAAAAGAAAATTTTAATAATATTGGTTGTTGCAAACCTAGTAATGGTTCAGTGGATAAAGACTTTCCTAGATGGAACTTTCCACGTTTTATCCTTTGCTTAAAAATTCCAACTTGGTGTGTGCATTGTCGTCTTCTTGTTAATTTTTATTTCATTTGTAAATGATTAATTTAATTAATTTTCATTTAAATTCTAGTGTTTTAGGGCTCCACCTTGACTTAAGAAAATTGTCTTTCGTTTGGAAAGAAAATAATAAGCATGTGTGGTCTTACTTTATGGAAGCTTAGATAGCCCATTGTTATTTATTTATTTTAATGACAGTTCCCTTTGTTAGATTTAAACCTACCAATTTACCTGTCTTACAAGTGGGTTTGTTAATGTAATATTATGTAATTTCTGTAATTATATTACAAAGATTAATATATTTAATTTTAATTTGTGAACTCCATAAAATTATGCTTAAAATATTTTGGGATTTGAAATTTCAAGTTTCCAATTGCTCTAATACAAATTGAAGAGGTCCGTTCCTAAGATATTATCTGTTTTGATGCATTAGGCTTTATAGTTTTGTCAAAAAAAAAAAAAGTTTCAGAAATATGAATTCATGTCCTTTGATTATAATCTCTCATTTTGAATTGGGGGCATTACAAGCTTATTCATTTAATTTAGATTGCACTTAATTTTTATAACTCCCTGAATGAATAAATTAAACATTTGATTAATGTTAGCCCCCCATTTTAGACAATGCAATAGCATTTTTCACACGTTAAACAAATATTTTTTTGTTTCTATTGTAACAGGTACATGCAATGTACAACCAGAAATGCACTATAAAGACAATTGACTGCATTAGTCTGTAGCCATTACTTACCAAACAATATTCCTACAACATTTCTTGTTTCTTTAATCAGAATCTCATATCTCCTTTTTCCATTTTTTTTTCGAATAAAAATTTCAACTTACCAAAACCCATATCATGGAATAAAAAAAGACTCGTTGAGGTTCCAATTTTTTTCCAAGAAAACTCGGTGTTGACCTTAACGTCATTCAAAAAGAGAGCCAAAATCTAGAAAGGAAGATACTAATTTAATTATATTATTTGCGTCTTAGACAAGTTGTTTACTTTGTTGATGATTAGAAATTTCGAAACATTTACAATATAAATAGAATCGAGAAACTCAAGTTCGATGTTATAGAGTCGTCTCGAAGATGGTGAGGCAACCAATATCCAGGAACAAAACATTTCTAAAGAAAGGAACATGGAACCCTGACGAAGATCAGAAGCTGATTGCTTATATAACGAGATATGGCATTTGGAATTGGAATGAAATGCCCAAATATGCTGGTATGAAACATCCCTAATTATGCTCAACTTTAATCATCTACAAGAACAAGCTATCGGTTTAGACTTTGTGATTAGAGTATTTTCATGCACTTCATTTTGGTTTGTAGGTTTGTCGAGATCAGGGAAGAGTTGCAGACTTCGTTGGATGAATTACTTGAGGCCTAATATAAAGCGTGGAAACTTCACCAGGGAAGAGGAAGAAATCATAGTTCAACTGCAAAAGAAGCTAGGAAATCGGTTAGTAACAATACGGCAACATTACCGTTTTGAACTCAGAACTTAGTTTAATTGGTTCATAAGTTTAGTTGGTTCATATAGTTATCTTTTGTGGCATCCAATAGATCTTGGATTCAAATTCCAATATCTGTAACACCTTCTCCTATTTCCAGATTGATATATTGATAAAAAAGAAAAAAAACATTACTATTTTCAAACATAAGATTATAGATAGGACGATACGATTTCATTTTCACAAATTTCGATTAATTTTCAGATGGTCGGAAATTGCTGCAAGGCTGCCGCAAAGAACTGACAATGATATAAAAAACTACTGGAACACTCGCTTGAAGAAAACAGTAGAGAAGAACAATATTTCAGCATCAGGAAATACATCACCTGCAGAAATCAATTCAGGTATCGAAGCCAAGCAGGAGAATTCGTCTCACGCTGAATTCTCAATGTTCCTCAATACTTTGTTGGACTCACCAGTTCCTACATTGGATGACTTCCCTGAACCTGCAACCCCTTATAGTTATACTACGAACGATAATTTTGTTTCATCAGATTTTCTGGAGCAGCCACTGATGACAGTAGTAACTCTGTACGACCAGGATTGCCAAGCTATGTCACCAAATTCTCAACTGTGGCTCCATGAACCCATATTTGAATGTGATTCCTACTATGATCCCCTGGATAATTTCTGGCTCAATCCATTTATTTAGTGCCTAAAGAGTGAGAGCCGATCCCTTTGCCCTGCTTCCTTTTTTTTTTTTTTTTTTTTCCGATTGGGGTAATTTGAGCTATATCAGACTGTCAGTTCTATATGCTTTTCCCTTGTACGCGTGAGAAATTCGATGTCAACAAGTATTACTATTATAATATGGGTGCTCAAAGTGATACTGGTCTTATTAATTTGAACATACTAATGCTGGTGTGGTGCAATTAAGAAAACATAGAGATTGTCAAAATATTTGAGTTAGTAGAAACCAAGAAGTTATATATGTTACCAATCTGTCATATCGACAACAAATTCTCGGTGTTTTTATGTGCTTACAAGTAGAGCAAGTTTTGTTTGGTTGTAAGGAAAAATATTCAAGTAACACTTCTTCCTTAAAAGAGAAAAAGACGAAGAAGAAGAAGATCAGCAAGAGTTATAATACAAATTCTGGTTGTTTTCTAGCACTTTTACATGGGTTATTGCTGTCTACACTTCAGCTTGCAAGTCCAAAACATGTGGTAGTTAGAAAGTAGTCTTGAAAAGCTTAAGGGTAAAATTGCTTAGATTTAGGGCAGGTAGTGGTTGATAGACGAGATAATTTTGATATAAAAAAATATATAAAAATATCATTATTTAAATTTTTAGTAAAAATCATATATAAGAATTAAAAATTATATTTGTATATGCTTGTTTAGAATATTCACACAAATTATATTACAATAATTTTTATATTTTAGATATCTTTAATATAAAATAAACAAATACAAATATACCAATTGTAAGATCTAGTGGTAAATATAAGCTTAGAATCATTGAAATTTAATTAGCAAGAAAATGAAAAGCTATATAAAGGAAACAGATAAATAGGCATTGGTTTTCAATCAGAAAATTGATTAATGTTAACAACAACTCAGCTGTTCACAAATAGGTTGGAAAAGTAAAAGAAAGATCAGCTGGAATTTGTATATTTGCCACACCAATGCAATGCCAATGCTTGGTCAAAAATGGAATATAGACGACAATATATCATGTGCTCAGTCGCATTTTATAGCCTTCTATTTTGTATCTATTTAACTTTTTCGTTTGTCGATCAGGTATTAATAATTTGTCCTGTTTACCCTTTTTCTCTTCGCCAGTTGACTACAATTTCAAGTCTCCTCAAACAAACAACTTAATTCAACTATTTATTATTTTTTATTAGACTCACATTTATCACTTTAATTATTTATTGTAATCTTCAACTATTATCAATTAATAATTTTATGTGTTGGATTTCTATTGAAACACATTAATTCAAATAGTCATTTTCATCTTATCTTCATCGTTGGACTATAAACTTTCAACATTATAAACCTGAAGACCATATCACGTCTTTTAATTTGTATCAATTGTTGAAAATATTTCAATATGAAACTCATTACTTGATTAAATCAGTCATATCTATGAAATCTTCAATTATTTGGTAATCAAGCTTCAAGTCAGGTTCGTTGCTTCTTCTATGTACCTGCAACCTTTTCCTAGGTGACCTACGACGAAGCGACAGTCAGTGTGCGAGCTAAAGGCACTACTCGAGCTTGGCAGCTACTAGGCAAGCAACTATCCTAACCAGGGACGCACAGTGGGGGCAGTACGAGCAGCTGCCCCCACTGAGATTTTTATATCCCTTAAAAATATATTATAAAAATACCAAAAATTTTTATTTCTTTTACGATGCCCCCATGAAAATAACAATAAAATATATGATCAAGGACGGATGCAGGGCAGCGGAGGCAGCTGTCCCACTGAGATTTTTATATTCCTTAAAAATATATTATAAAAATATAAAAAAATTTTATTTCCTTTATAATGACTTGCTGAAAATGACAATAAAATATATAATAGATGTAAAAAGTTAAAAGATGTATTAGTGAAAAGTGATGGATATTTGAATAAAAAAATTTTAAACTTATTATAAAAAAAAGGATAAATGAATTTATTGAAAAAACACCGTTGGTTTTCCTCTTCCTTCCCCACTTATAACTTTTACTCTTTCAAACCATGAAAGCAAAACCAATTTTTACAAGGGAAACAGAGAAGGAAACAAAAGAAATTAAAAGAGGGAAAGGAAAGTCACTAAACTGAAGAAACAAATTATAAGTTGATTATTTTCTTTTTCTAATAAGATATTTAAGTAAGTAAATTTTTTAATATATTTTTATAATTGGTTAATAAGCCAATGTGATAAAGTGTTTATTTATTATTTGAAATTTATTGTATTGATGAAATAATTTGACTATGTTCTTAATAGCATGCATATTTTTTTATCATGTTTGAGTTTTTTGTACTTTGTATTTTTCTTTATTTTTTAGTCACTACTCATTTAGTTAAATTAACTTTAAGTTTGGCAAAGATTAATTTTTATATGGAGATTAAAAAACTAGTTAGAAGTTTTATCCAATTTCTTGCATGGCAATGTGTTTACAATATATGAATTGTATTTCTACTAATATATTTCAAATATAGAGTTGGTTGATCTTCATTACCATACATAATTGTATTTTGAGTATGTCTTCTTTTTTTTTAATAAATTATATAAACTAAACTATTTAATTTAATAATTATGAAGAAATATTTTATTAAAAGGAAGCAAACTTTTGAAGAATCATTTGGAATCAATATTAGTGGCACACAACATTTGTACAAAGCAAGTTCATGTTGAATTAAATTTAAATGATCTTCCTTCAAATTCGAGTTACAAAAAAAAAAAAATTTAGACTATAAAGATAATGATAGAGACAAGGTTCAAAGAACTTATTTGCAAAAAAGATCATGTCAACCTTATGAACATAATTTTTCTCAAAGAAAAACTGAAAATCCCACATGGTTCAAAGATTATGCTAATTGATTGGAATATAGTATAGAGAAGGATCCCATTTTTTATTTGTATTGTTATCTTTATAGAACATATATTGGAGAGTAAGTAAGTGGTGATTGTTTTATTTCAGATGGATTCACAAATTGGAAAAAGAAAGAAAGATTTGATATTTATGTTGGAAGTCTTAATAGTGCTCATAACAAAGCTTGAAAGTGTTGTCAATATTTGTTAAATCAAAAGCAACATATTCAATTTGCTTTTGCAAAACAATCCAATCAAGCATAAAAAGATTATTGAGCTCGCTTAACTGCAACACTTGATTGTATTTGCTTTCTTTTATGTCAAGGTTTGGCATTTTGTGGTAGAGATGAAACTGAAAATTCTCACAATTAAAAATTTTTTTTGAGCTTCTTAATTTCTTGCCAATCATAATGAAACAATCAATAATGTTGTCTTAGAGAATGCACTGAAAAATTCAAAAGTGATAGCACATGATATTCAAAAAGATCTTTTTCGTGCCACAACAATTGAGACTATCAATACTATCATGAAAGATCTTGGAGATGGATTATTTTTCATTTTACTCGATGAATCTCGTAATTTTTCAATCAAAAAACAAGCTGTTATTGCTTTGTGTTATGTGGATTCTAAATGGCATGTTATTGAATGTTTTTTGGGTATAATATATGTCAATGATACAACTGCTTTGTCACTTAAAATAACTATTAAAGTATTATTCTCTAAACATAATTTGAGTATGTCAAAGATTTATGGGCAAGGTTATGATGGAGCAAGCAATATACAAGGTGAATTCAATAGATGAAAAACTTATCATGAAAGATAATACATATGTTTATTATGTTTATTGTTTTGCTCATCAACTTCAATAGACACTTGTAGCCATGGTAAATAATTATGTTCAAATTGCATTACTTTTCAACATTATGACAAATGTAGTGAATATTGTTGAAGCTTCGTGTAAACGAAGAGATGTTCTTCGAGAAAAATAACTTGATAAAGTTATTGAGGCATTACGAGTCGGTGAACTTTATACGGGAAAGGTTTAAATAAAAAATTAAGTTTTCAACAAGCTGAAGATACACAATGGGGATCACATTATGGGACTTTGATAAATTTGATCCTTATGTTTAGTTTCATTATTGATATGCTTGAAATTGTTGTGGAGGATAGGAATAGCTAGAGCAAAGAAGTGAAATTTCTGCTTTATTATATTTAACTTAATCTTTTGACTTGGTTTTCAACTTGTATTTGATAAAAGATTTCTTGATGATTACAAATGAATTGTCCTTGGCATTACGAAGGTGAGATCAAGATATTGTGAATGCAATGATATTAGTAAAAGTAGCGAATCAACAACTACAAATGATGAGAGATGATGGATGGAATCTTTGCACAAGGAGGTTTCTTTATTTTGTGAAAAAAAAACAATATTAGCATCCCAAATATAGATGATATGTTTGTAACTCGTGGAAGACGTCGGCGCAATGGTCAAACAATAACAATTTACATTATTATCGGATTGAGTTGTTTTACACTATAACTAATATACAACTTCAAAATCTCAATAATCATTTTAATGAGGTGAATATGGAATTATTTTTTTTGTGTGGCTTCTTTAAATCCTTGTAATTCTTTTGCAGCTTTTGATAAGAAAAAGTTGGTTCATCTTGCTCAATTTTATCTAGTTGAATTTTCTAATGTGGAGTTACTAGTTTTTAGCAATCAACTTGAAAATTACATTGTTGATTAAGATCTCATGATGAGTTTACAAGCTTAAAAAGTATCAGTGACCTTTCTATGAAACTTATTGAGACATAGAAACATTTTGTATATCTATAGGTATACTTGTGGAATTATCTTTGATATTACCAATTTCTATTGCATCAGTTAAAGAGCTTTTTCTGCTATGAAGATTATGAAGAACCGTTTGTACAATTGAATGAGAGATTTTTAGATGAATGATTGTTTGGTTACTTATATAAAAAAAATATATTATGTAATATTGATAATGAAAAAATTTTACAACGTTTTCATAATATGAAAATTCAAAAAAAAAATGTAATATGTTACTTTTATGTATACATAAAACCGTTTTTTTATTCATTTTAATTTATTTATATATATTTAGTATTATATATATTTTTACCTCCACTAAATATAAATCTTGAATCTGTCC